ATGCACAGCATTGGAAACATTAGAGATTATTAAAAACTCTGAAACTGTCTACTACTGGTAAACTTTATAAATTGCCAGTGGAAAGTTAGTTAGAAATATATAGGTATAAGAAAATTGGAAGCCAGCAGAGTTTTTTAATCTGATGAACTGGGGAAAAGCACATCTACGTTTGTATTTAGAGGTGACCAATTTAAAAGCTAAACTCCTCTTAATCAACAGGCTTTTATAATAGAATGCAACAGGATTTACTTTTGGATCAAAGGCACTCCCCTGGTAGTTAGAGAATGCAGCTGAATGCAATTATAAGCTCACTGATAAGCAGGATGCAGGTCTTTAGCTGCATTCGGAGAGAGTCCACTTAATAATTGAGAATCTAGCAGCGACACTTTAATGAGGAGTTTAAAAACACACTGGCCCTGAATCTCAGAATTTGTCAATACTTGTTACCTAGATTTTCATTTCAAAGTAATGAAGTGATAAGTAGGAATCAAGAGGAAAGTTTGTAATTGAGAAAAATTGCTTTGCAAATAATTCAACAAGTACTTAAAGGCTGAACTAAGAGATAAACCATTGATAAGTTGGTAAAACTTGGACACATATAATAGGAATATAATGTGTTGGGGCAAGTGGAGAGTTACAGGCAGTGCCCAAGGGACTTACACAACATCACAGACCCATGTCCCAAGAATAATGTGCTGATGAGACAGACAATTCAGAGAATAGAGCCTTCCCATGACTCTTGGCAAATAAAAGAGAGAAAGGGTTAATATCATCCCATGTAAATGATCAAATCACAGTGTGACTTTTTTTTTCATTTTTATTGTTAGTTTTTTTTTAAGTTGTACTGTATGTAGTTTGCTTTCTGTTGCTGGATAACTGGCCTGACTGAAACCAGCTTGGGAAGAAGATGGGTTTATTTGGCTTACATATGAGATTAGCAGTCCATCCTTGAGGGAAGTGTGGGCAGGAACTCAAGCAAGAACTGAAGCAGAAATCATGGAGAAATGCTGCTTACTAGCTTGCATGCAGACTCGTGTTCAGCTACCTTTATTTTACATCCCAGTCCCACCTGCCTAAGAATGGCACTGCCCATAGCAGGCCCTCCCACACTGACTAACAATCAAGAAAATGCCCCCTCAAGACATGCCCATGGGACAATCTAATGGAGTCAGTCCTGCAATTGAGGTTCCTTCGTCTCAAGTGAGTCAAGTTAAGAACAAAATTTAGACATCCCAGCAACAAAAAATAATGGATTTTGGATAACCATGTGGTCATCCCTAAAAACATTACTTTTTTTCACTCATCAGGTTATATCTATATAAATATTTATTATATATTCATACATATATATAATAATTAAAGAATAAAAGACCAAGAATTTGAGAGGGAGGGAGTATGGAAGGGGGATGAGTGGAGAAGAGGAAGGGGAAGTAATATAACTACAATTTGTTTAACTAAAATAAGCTTTTTAATGGGCCTTGTGTTATTTCATATATTTAATTCATTAGAATTTGTTCAGGTTTTTCTGTTTGTTAATGGATAGTTTACTGTTTAATTAAAGCAGGCTACCTGTTTGTGATTTGCCTTTTTCAAGAAAAAGAAATGAATGAGTAACTTCATTGCCTAGGACTTTGTTACAGGCACAAGATAAACCAGTTTGGGGTTAGAGAATATTCAGGTCTCTGCATCTCACCCTTTCCCCAAATACTTGCAAGTTAATGATTATCATACATAAGCCAGTTAGAAACCTGAAGATGACCATCTCTAAGCATTTTCTCCCTTTTCGAAAATGTGTACTCAATATATGCATACACACACATACACAACACACACACACACACACACATGTTTTCCTTTGCTCCTGAAAAGTTTCATGTCCACGCTAACGATGGAATGTGTGATTTGGATCAGTTTTATGTGCTGCTTTTGGGATCAACTCTCTCAACTTTTTCCATGAGACCTTCTTCTCTCACTGGGTCTTGGGGTCATCTTAGATATTTATGTAATGTGTGGAGCTTGAAAATATGAGCGGCCAATCCTTCATAAGTCTCCCAAGCAAAGCCAAGAGAGTTCCTTTTAACCCAGGATCAGAGTACGTTTATTGGGTTTCCCTTTGAGGCCTGTGCCTGTCATGGGGTGTTCCCCTCGACAGTGCCACACTTTGGGGTGGGAAAGGACAGGTGTTTCCTCTTCTCAGCATCTTCATCATCTGGTCCTCACAAAAGTCCTAAGCTAGAGGCTTGGCAAGTTCACAGAATAAACAGCAGAAAAACTCAAAATGCTGAATTTGAGGAGTAATGTCAGGAGACAAAGACCAAACGATAATTAATCAATACATTTCAAAGACACTGAAAAACAAAACAAAACAAAAAAAAAATGCTTCAAAGTTTCAAAAGCATACAAAATACGGACCAAAATGTCTTTAGTGGTCTGAAAGTGACCGAATAAGCGAAACAAAACTGCCCAGGCCAAAATACTTTCAAAGCAAAAAAACAAATCAGATACCATAAACAAAGTACTTTGAAAGCATATGAAAAGACTATCTATCAGAGTCGGGTCCTTCTTAGCCAGCCCAGAACAAACAAAATGGACCAGTGACCAAACTAAAGGAGTCTGGAGCCCCAGGAAGAACTCAGCAACAATTCACTGAGGATATGACTCCTGTCCTGGACATTGGTTTTCATTCAGGTGATTCATCCGATGAAAAATGAGCCATTATCTCAGTCCCATCTTGCAGCGCCATAACTGTCAACAGAAAAACTACAGCCCCCATCTGAAAGGGATTAAGAGTTTATTCTGGAGCCATTTTGAGTGACTACGACCTAGGAACACAGATTTAGGTTACCCTGCATTCCTTGTTGCTGTATCTAAGCAGTTTTTAAAAGGCGTTACAGTTTTATAGAACGGAGAAAGTTGTAACTCAAGGCAAGTTTAAAACCCATTAGTGGGTACATCAGAGAGGTTGGTCTACCGAAATATGGGAAATTTTCCTTTAGGCTCAAGATGTTATTCAATGGCATCTTAGACAGTTGCCTGCTAAGCCAACAGATTCTGCTAAGCCATCTGTTGACACAAGATGTTAGTTCTGATGGAGGAGGAGGGGAATGGCTGTTCTGCAGGGCCAGAACTTAGTCCCCTATAAGGTAATTAGCTTCTGGACCTGCAACATCCCAATCTCTCCACAACACTGAAATTCTAATCAGCCAATCAGTCTCTGAATATTTTCAGGAGGTTTCATTCACAGCTAAGTGCAACTTCCTCTCCGAGGTTTTCATTCACAGGGGTCAGCACTCACTTAGACCAAAGCCTGGCTGAACTGTCACCATGTTCACCATTCTGAGAAGATACTTTTATGGTACATCTGCATCCATGTTGATTGCTACATTACTCACAAGAGGCAAGATAAGGGATCAGCCTAGATGTCCATCTATAGACGAATGATAGAGAAAATATGATACATATACACAACACAATTTTACTCAGCAATAAAGAAGAATGAAATCATGCCATTTGCAAGAAAGTAGGTGAACTTGAAGATAAACAAGTTGATTTTCTTAAAAGATACTGAGAAAGATAAATATAGCATGACTCCTAACATGCAAAATCTATATTTAAATGAATATTTACGTGAACAAGTATAAACATACTTAAGACACAAAAGTAGAAAAGGCATAGTGAGGGCAGAGGGAAGAGGTCTATAATAAAAAGGAAAAGGGGGAACAAAATATCTCATATTGTCTCTTATTTACATACAAAATATAAAATTACATGTACAATTATATAAATATATAGACATACATATGTATATATAAATCATAAGGGATACTATAGGGAGAAAGGGAAATAGACAAATGAAAAGTGATAATGAAGTGCATTGGAAATGTATAAAAGAGCAGGATATAAGGATTAATTTGTGTGAAAAAAAATCTCATAGTGAAAATCACTGTTTTGTATAATAACAAAACATAAAATTCAACACACTTGGATTGCTTCTGCTAAAAAGCACTTATCAGTAAATTATCTCATGTCCTCCTATCGGAGCTAAGAATTTAGTTAAATATGGCAGATATGAAAGGGCACAGAACCTTTCAATCTTGAGGCTTAGATGCCAAACGACTTCACTGAAGTTCACATTTAGAGGTTCACATCTCAGTGAGCAAGGACTCTGGTGACCATGGGGATCGTTTTGTGAGACTTTTCAGGAAAGCTGGTGTGACCCATGCAAGCCCAGGCTCAGAACATTCTGGCAATCCTCCTTCTCACAGGTACCTATCTAATTTGCATCTCTGTAACATGTTGTCACAAGGATGGTCAAGATGGCTTGGTTCCTGCTCCATGCTTCAGTAAGAGTTTCTCCTACTTGCAAGGCACCCAGGCAACACACAATGGAAACTCCTTGGAGTCTTTTCTTCACAGCCTGCTTTTATTTATTTGTTTGTTTGTTTGTTTGTTTGTTTATTTATTTATTTTGGCTTTTCAAGACAGGGTTTCTCTGTGCAACAGCCCTGACTGTCCTGGAACTAGCTCTTATAGACCAGGCTGGCCTCAGACTCAGAGAGATCCACCTGTCTCGGCCTCCCGAGTGCTGGGATTAAAGGCGTACACCTCCACTGCCTGGCCCTACAGTATATTTCTATAGTCAAGAAGAATTTGGTTTTAAAAACCTAGGTCCTGACTTCAAGAAAAGTCTGCTATAAATGTAAGTGTTGGGTCCATTCATGAATGACCATGGTTTTTTTCCTGTCTTTGCACCTGAAATCATTGTTCCATGTTTACCTAGCAATTAGCAAATCACACACGTAAATGTCAGAGAAAAATAAAACAATATATCCATCTAGGCATGTGGGTACAGCTGGAGTCAAACATCCACAATAGAGTCAAGATCCAGTGAGGAACCGTGTTGGAAGCCTAAATGGGAAGCCAACTGCCTGTGTTGCTTTCCAGGGAGGTCGAATCTCTGACCTTTGTCTGATGTCTAAAGCGAGTCCCTTTTGTTTCAGCTGGCGGGCTTCATCTACGCCTGTTACGTCGTGAAATGCATCACTGAAGAAGAAGACAGCTGTAAGTATTAAAGCCCCACTCTGTGTCTTTCAAGTTCAAAGCCTCCTGAGTGCTTCCTGCCCAGCCTTCCTGCTCTGAGACAATACCCCTTCCAACCCCAGCGGAGCAGGAAATAAGCCTTTGGTACCTGCCATGCTAAGCTACTCTTCACGAAAGAGTCAGCATATGAAAGAAACAGAGAAGCTCTCATTTTGAAAACATGCTTTTCCCCTTTCATTGAAAGGCTATTTCAAAAATCTGTTCTCAGAACAATTCTCGTAGAGAATACAGATGGGAGATTAGAGACAGAAGAGAACTCTAAACGCAGTTAGCTTGGATATTTTCCTTCGTTACAGTTCGGTTACTGTGTATTGCTAACTAATCTGTTTCATCGAGGACTACAAATCTCAACAATCAATAATTTGTAATAGTCCTTAGAACTCTCTCAACAATTGAATCCCTAATGGAAACCAATTGCTATGACAATGATATGTGTGCCATGATCTGAAATGCTCTGACGTGGTCTGATAAGGCACTGTATTGGCGTGGCACGTTAAGATACAAAGTGATGTGGCCCAATCTAATATTATAGATACCTGATGATACGACATGATCTGATATGTCATGGTCTGGGCATGGTGTGCAAAGAAATGGCATGATATAATGTGATGTGATTGATATATTATGATATGGCCCATGCTAAAACATTTTGAGTAGTGGGGCCATATGCGGCTGGATATGGGGTAAGGGAAAAAGATGGGTCTGATGGATTCCTAGATGTCTATGCGTGCATGAGTACGTAGAAATGCCTCTTAAGGAGAGGAGAGGAGACACGACATGCTGAGGGTGGACAGGTTGTTGGAGGTGTAAGCGAGGATATCCAGTAAGCACCCATCATATGCTCGGTCACCTTATTCAGAGACTGCAGCAGATAACAGATATGTGGATTGGTAAATGTATGGCCCAAGGAGGTCATGGAATCAGCATCCTTCCAGAATCACACTTTGCAAAAGAGACTCCTAAAATGCTCATGCTCACTTCACAAGACAAAAACAAATAAATTTGACACTGAAGACTCAGAATGCATGTTTATACACTGACGTCCCTGAGAGTAGTCCAACTTTGGAAAATTATCAAGAGGATTATTTTGACCTTTAATTTTTATGAAAAAACAAAAAGAGTCCTCAGAAAGCAAACTTTGAAGAATTTGAGAGAGTTTTGATGTCTGGGCAACACTGGGGCTAGTATCATATCTTCTTGAAGCTACCTGCTTACCAAATTAGTGAAGTCTCCATCCCTAAGAGTACAGCATAGGTTCTGTAACTTGGTGAGAACACACAGTACCAATGAAGACAGGCTTTTGACTTCTGGGTGAATAAAGTAGGCAGGAGGCTGAAGTTGTACATCTCTGTGATCGGTGCTCCCAGACACGAATGTACCCAGCCAAAGTCAGAGGGAAAAAGCATCGACTTCCAGGGAACCATGAACCAGGCAGAAGCAAGGACACAAACTATACTGAATGAAATGATAAGACATAGGGGATGGTATACTGCACCACAGAGGAGTAGGGGGAGGGAGAAAGAGAGAGATTGAGGGTTAACATTCCAGGCTTGCTGCACCCCCACTATGTAGCCAAGGTTGACTTTAAGCCTCTACCTGACTCCTCCTCCCAAGCGCTGGATTGCAAGTTTGCCACCATACCATGTTTACGCGCTGCTATGAGTTGAGCTCGGGGTCCCTTGCATGCTAGGCGAGCGCTGTACCTACTGAACTACATCGCTAGCCTAATGACAGACACGTTAATGCAACATCTCTCTCTCCAGTGGGAAAGCCCTGAACCTGGGCTTCCCTCTGCTTGACCCTGGAGTCTAAACCAGAGCCACAGCCTGGCAAATGGACCGCCTGCCCAAAGTCGCAGCACACCACTGCCACCTGCTGTCCACACTAGACTATGGCACCGGGTAGCGCGATGAGGATGCTCTGCTTTCTATGAATCAGTAGGGCTGCCATGATAACAGGCCACAGCATCGGCAGCATCTAACAACAGAAACTCATTGTCTCCCAGGTCTGGATGCTGAACTTCCAAGGTCAAGGTGTCAGCATGCGCTTTGTTCAAAGAACTCTTTTTGCCTTATAGATGGTACCTTTTCAAAATCCTTATGAGGTCTTTTCCCTATGCCTTTCTTCTTATTTAAAAATTTCAGTCCAGTTGGACTGCAGCCTTGTCCTAGTGACCGTCTTTAACTTTAATTCGCTCTTTAAAGGCCCTGTCTCAAGAACTTCACAGTGAAATTTAAACTTTCTATTCACAGACTGAAGGGAGGAGACACAAATAAGGCTATAACACACACACACACACACACACACAGACAATAGTACACAAACATGCACATGAACACACAGTATGTTTTGTAGATGTATGGGTATATTTACAGGGGCAGAGCAAACCTAGCCTCAGACTAGAGCTTTGGGGTGCTAACACTGCTCAGCATGGCTGTATGTTCACTACGATCGGGCAGGAAACCCAGACAGCACCTCTAACTGCCATCTACTTTTAGAAGAAAGGTTCCGCACCAAGAAAAACTAAAACCTTGAACTCCAGCTCAACAGTTCTGCCTTATACCAGGCACGCATTTGAGCACAGCGACCCTCACACCATGCATAGATGTGTTTGTTCTGCCTTAAGAGAACAGGCTTCCTCCAGGAGAGTGGGCACCCTCACTGTGTGTTTTGTGGCAGAGCTCTCCTGTCTCTGGCCGCACTGAGTTTTCCTGATAGCCCCAAGTCTCTTCCATTCCCCTGTGTTTGTTCTTGTTTACAAACTTCTGTAAAAGAAATGAAAGCATCAGAGATTCCTGGTCTTTGTGACTTTTATCTTATACACGGCTCTTTTCTCTAGCTTCCTTAGACCTCCCCTCTGCTGCACAGCGGTGAGCTGTACCACTTTGGCGAAAGAGATAAGAATGTATCTTTATGTGTCACCTGCTATTAAAAGATACTTACAGAACGTATCACTGGATCCATGAGGAGAAAAAAGATCTTCAGCATATTTCTCGATTTTCATTATGTTTGTTTATTCAAAGTATTTTAACTAGAACAAAGCACAACTAAATGTTGGTCTCTTGCAAATGCATCCATGTTTAAGTACCTTTTACAAAGTAAAATAATTTTTCATATCTTCAGGTTCCTTTATTTGAGGATTCAACCAACGGCAGGTAGAAAATATTTGGGCAGTAAGGGAAAAGTGCATTTGTACCAAATATGTCCAGACTTTTTGTCCTCATCAAAAGTTCCCAAATAATATAATACAGCAACTTTCATTGCACAGAGCATTAGAACAGAATTGGATATTATGAGTGATCTAGAAATGATTCCATGTGCACTGCGTGCTGTGCTGGAGATATATATATATATATATATACATATATATATATATATATATATATGTCATTTTTCTAGGGTTCCTGAGCACTTGTGAATTTTGGTATCCATAAGAAGGGCCTGAAATCCCCAGGGTTACTGAGGGATGACTGTAGCAACCACCTTATCTAATAGAGATGCAATGTATTTCCAAATGTTATTCAATATTGAAATCACCTGGGACAAAGATGTGGAATGTCATTTAAAGATAATAACCTAAGGGACTTATTCTGGAAGCAATATTGGAAAATGAATTCCAGCTATTTAAATTTGGAGTTAGACACATACACATGCCCACCAACTAAACACAAATGAATAAAAACCTGTCCTGAATTCTCTGAAGTCAAGTAGCCTAGGGACAAAAGTCACAATCGATTTATAGAATCTGTCTTTTAAAAAGAAAACCACAGAAAATTATCCACTGCTTTCAGGGTAATAATTTTCTATTATTTTTGTTTGATTTTTTTTCTTCTAAAGCCTGCTGGCCTACACTATTTGTCAAACTCCATTCTGTAGGTTTTGAGCACATCTCCGGATATCCAGGATCCAGGACCATCAGCCTTGGATGGAACTCCTGGAGCACAGTCACTTACTATGCAGAGGATGTACATGGAGATATATTCTGCCCTTAAAACATCATGCTTCATCTTGCTCATAAGTGAATAGAGGTTTACTACAGAAAGCATAAAAAATACAGATAAACAAAACAGTAAGAGGAGAGACTATCAAAATGCCCACAACTGAGTCCTGGTCTTCAGATAACATTTTGGCACGCGGTATGCTTACTGGGCTTCATTCTGCCCTTGCTTTTCCACTGTCCTCCCCTCTGTGGTTTCTCCTTCCCACGCTTCCTTCCTTCTCTTCTCACGGTCGGTCATCGGCCACGCTTCAGATGTGGTTGTTCAGATCAAACTACACACTCTGTTTGGTAACCTGCCTTTTCTTGTTCTCTTAAATCATTCCTCAAACATAACCTCAGAAGTGGCAACAAGCTGTTCAGAACAAAGGACAGTGTGTTGTGTGCCTGATTGACAGGTGAGGTTGTGAAGGGGGGAGAGAAGTCTTTTCTTCTTCACGGAGAGTCACGCTCAGTCAATCCCACAGACACATTGCTCAGTAATTATCATTTGGCCGTCTCTTTATAACAATTGCAATCTTAGGAGCTTAGAGATTACCAGGCGAAATTTCCTTTTCTATACCTACCAATTTCCAATGAGCCCAAAACTCACCATTTTCCCTCTTCTCTGAGCATCATCACCTATTAGGAAAGGCTAGAGATCCAGATTTAACCTGTAGGTGTTCTGGGGAGCCCTGCTGGAGTCACAGAGATACCATCTTCCCGCCCTCCCAACGCGCTGTCGCCTCGCATTGTCCTTTCATTCTGCTGAGATTTCTTTCCACGGAAGATTTCTTCAAGCTTTGAAATGATAAGACAGGTGCTACCTATTGCTCTACTCCAACACCCAAATCTTATAAACTTCTAAAGATTGACTCGCTGAGCTTCCCTAATCCGGAGCGCTGAAGCTGACTCTCAGGATAAAAAGGTGTTGGGGTGCGGTCGGCACCCAGACATCTCTCATGCCCCTCTGTGTTCTAGCACG